GAGGCATTTTCATCTCGATTTGTTCGATATGCGAGACGTTCGAGAACCGACATTGCACTGTATTTACCAAAATTACACAAAAATTTCTTGAAATTCTAAAGAGTAAATTCATCAAATATAATCACCATTGGCTTCAAATACGGCCTCATGACAAATTCAGAATCTCCTGCATCTCTTCTGGACGGTCTCCTTGTTTAAGGTGGTGAATGTAATCATAATCCTTGCCTTCAGTTTATCTTTCGGGGTTACAAGTAGTTTTGTTGGTCTCCCGCTCAATTGCACCACACGCATAATAATCAAGGTGGTTTCAGTCTGTGGGAGTGAGGTAACCAGGTGCAATAAGGGATGTAGTCGCAGAAATTGTCTGGCAGCCATGACTGGATTCTCCTGCATATGTGGCATGGTGCAAAATCCTGTTGCCAGATATATGGTCTTCCAGCAGCCACGCTCATCAAGTCACTTGATGTAGGCCTGCGTGTTGAGTCAGAGTCTCATCAACAAATTTGGACAGTTCTTTTCTTATCAGAACAATCAGAGTGAATTTTCCGAGCTGCCGTACCTTTGTAATCACAATCAGATTCATCCAATGTTATTCTGAATCTTCTGCAGTGTCCTCCGATTGACAACCAAACACTTTGAAATGTTTATATTGGAGCTTCCGACGGGAATGTCAAGAATGCAGTTTCTAAATTTCTGGTGGGGTGAATTGCGTCATGGTAGTCTTTTTCTTACAGGCACTGCCCAACTGACCCTGTGCGATCGAGAAAATAAAAACAAACACGCATATATATATATATATATATAGATAGATAGATAATAGATAGATAGATAGATAGATAGATAGGCAGCATGTTTTCGTTCAAGCATAAATAAATTAAATTGATTAAATAATTTAGGTGTACTCTGTCTATTTATTTTAGTTTTAATCCTTTAAACTACACGAATTAATTTATATTTATATATATATATATATATATATATATATATATATATAAATTCGTGTACTTGAAAAGATTATATATATATATATATATATATATATATATATATATATATATATATATATATATATATATATATGAGAAGTTACATCCTTGTCTTACACCCTTTCTATTTTAGTATATAATTCATTTTCTATTTGAATGCGGGTGGTTTACTGCCAATATGGTTTCTGGATCATTCCAATATCCTTCCCAAACATGCCAAGGTTAACCAGCAGTTCAGATTAAATTGTGTAGAGTAAATTAAAACATCCCCAAAATTTAGCGAAAGAGCATCATCATCATCACCATTGGCAATGACAAAAGACCGTTATGAAATGAGCGTACTTTATTCCTTGTTGAAAATATCTCCTATGTTATAGTCTGGCACATGGCAATGATAGGAGAAGCACCAATTGGGTGTCTAGGAATGTGCTGCAACAGTTTGCTAACAATCTACAGAAGACGCTTTAGATAAAAAATACATGCAGCAATTAACTGAGATGCTAACCTTTAGCCCGACACAGGAGAGCTTAGTTGGATTGGATTTATTCTACATTAGTATTATACTGCTATACTTGCTTCCTCAAAGATTAACTTAAGCTCAGGCAAAAGAAAACGGCGTGTGAAAATGATGTTTTTCCTTCTTGAGCAAGTTTTAAAACTTTAGTTCATTTTATTATTACAAAAATCTATTAAATAAATGGCCTTAAAACAATAAAAAAAATGTAACTAGCGAGTAGACAGTAAAAACTATGTCAAAAAAAAAAAACTCCTTTAGATACAACGTTCCTTTTTTAGCCTTGGTCTAAGTAGTACTTTGCCATTCTTGCAATTCAGTACCCCACGACTACACTCTTTATGTATTTACATAGAAGACAGGCTTGCACAAAAGCAAAATTCGTGGTGCGTTCAATAAGATTGGATTCACTAGACAGTAGCCTGCGGCAAGGCTTAGCCGAGTTAAGGCATATTTCCGTCTCTAAAAATGCGTCATCTGACCATAGATAAGCGTTAATGAGAAGTTTTGGTCATTTAGGAGTTTGCTAGATAGATAGATAGATAGATAGATAGATAGATAGATAGATAGATAGATAGATGTGATAGATAGATATGAATAGATAGATAGATAGATAGATAGATAGATAGATAGATAGATAATAGAATAGATAAGAACAGACTGTGATAGATAGATATGAACAGACTGAGATAGATAGATAGATAGATAGATAGATAGATAGATAGATAGATAGATAGATAGATAGATAATGAACAGACTGTGATAGATAGATAAAAATTGAGATAGATACTAATATATAGAGAGATAGATAGATAGAAAGATGAAAAATTGATAATACTAATATAAGAGCGAGAAATGAATTGAGGTATATAAAGAAAGATGGACAAACTGTACTAGACAGATATGAACAGACTATGATAGATAGATAGATAGATAGATAGATAGATAGATAGATAGATAGATAGATAAACATGAAGAAATTGATTATATTAATATATATTTAGAGAGAGAGCAAGAAAGTGAAATACATAGATATGAAAAACTAAGATGTATAGAGTGAGGTTGGAAAACTGTACCAGATCTATATGTGATAGATAGATAGATAGATAGATAGATAGATAGATAGATAGATAGATAGATAGATAGATAGATAGATAGATATGAATAAAATTGATAATATTAATAGAGAGAGAGAGCGAGAAAGTGAAAAATACAGGTGAGAATGAATTGAGATATATAAAGAAAGGTGGACAAACTCTACTAGACAAATATGAACAGTCTGTGATAGATAGATAGATAGATAGATAGATAGATAGATAGATAGATAGATAGATAGATAGATAGATAGATATGAAGAAACTGATTATATTAATATATAGAGAGAGCGAGAAAGTGAAATACATAAATATGAAAAACTGAGATAGATAGAGAGAGGTTGGCAAACTATACCAGATCGATATGAACAAACTGTGATAGATAGATAGATAGATAGATAGATAGATAGATAGATAGATAGATAGATAGATAAGGGTACCTAGTCAGATTCAAATTCACTACACGCTCGTAATAGTGTGGTGTACAAGTCAAGTTCACTAAATCTTACTTTACCGCGCGATACGCTCAAATTGACATAGTTGTGAATAGACCGTGACAGATTGATACATATAATATGTAGTGAACAGAAATTTGATAGGAAGGAAGGAAAGAAGGGAAGAAGGAAGGACGGTAAGAAACAAAAAGAAAGAGGAGAGCAGATCACGGTGTGCACAAAGTCCCGCTTGTTGTTTGAAAACGAGTCTGGCAGCAGAACAAGAATCGCGCCAATTTTTTTTTTTTTTTTTTTTCGAAGCGGAATCTATTTTCCGGAAGATGGCAATGGAGAATCACGCGCTAATTTCACGGATCATTTACGCCGATGGACTTGTTCGACTATAACAACATAATTATATATCACAGTGCCGTGTGGAAGCATATATTTCCATGGGAGGTCTGCAAGGAAAAAAGAAAAACACTGAACTACCCGAGAGAAGAATCTTAATACTGGAATACACATAACGATGCACCAAAAACAACGTGTGACTTTTTTGGTGAGGGAGGGGGAGAATAAATTTCAGTACGTGCATTTACAGACATACATAAATACATAGAGAAAGGGTATCTCGAAGCAGTGTAATGGTAAGCAATCTTATCTTGCTAAAACAATTACGCTCCTCACTAAGTGTCCCATACTTCCGGCTTTGTGTCACATCTAAGCTACGCTTAGAAAATCCATTTTGGGGCACCTCAAGGTGGTGTAATGGTTGACAAGTTTGAGTAGTGAGTTCGATCCTCAATGGGTGCCGCATAAATGCGGTCTTGTGCCACATTTAAGCTACGCTTGGAAAATCACTATACATAGAAAGGTGTGTATGTGTATTTCTGCTTGCGTGTGTGTGTGCGTGTGTGTGTATAAAAAGTTCTCGACCCGACCAAGTAGTACCTCCTTCCAAATTCTGATGTTTTGTTATTTGTCCAGATTTGGCCAAAGAGATCATGCTGAGAACTTTTCATTGCCACCCCGTATACGCTTGTCCGGGCCTCATTGTCGAAAATCGGACGTTCTAACCACTTCGACACGTGCCCATGACCAGTGATTCGATCGACCACTTTCCAACCATGTGACCCTGGTTCGTATCTCACCCCGGTTGATTTGAAAGGAAGCTGCCATCTTGACGATATCGGCCTGGGAAGGCGAAGATTCCACCGTGCGGCATCTTTGATGAGAGCCTGAAAACCATACCACAGGCTTTGCGAGTCAAATCGGGTAGACGGGACATTTCATCGACGGCCGTGTTACCACTAAGTCACAAGTCATCGTGACTGAAAGTGTGAGCGTGCTGGCACTAAAGTAAAAGCGGGCTCTGCGTTTGCAACAGGAATTGGCCAAACGCCTCAACAGATATGCATACTCGGAAATGAGTTGATGAGAATTTTATATTTATATATATACCGAGCGTGACAACAAAATGTCGAAATCGTGTAACAGATTTTGTCCATTCCACAAAATATTTATATCTAAAAAAAAAAACACTAAACTAATTGAGTTTCTTTTTTCCAGGTTTTCAGATAAGACGTTTAGCCATTTTGACACCATTTGTCGTAAGAATCACAAAAAAAAAGTTATTCAGCTACAAAGAGTACATGTTAAAATCGTTTAGTGTCAGCCCGACTATGTCTTCCCAACTTAGCAATGGTGAGAGGAAACAGATCATTCAGAACTTCAGCAATGGTATCAACATTCATACTCTGGCTTCCATCTTCAAAGATCATTCAAGAACCATCAAGAGAACAGTGAATAAGTTTTAAAAAATGGAACAGTAGAGGTGAAAATTAGATCAGGAGGTCACAACAGCAAAAGGGATCATCATTTCAACTTAGAGTTAAATACATTCTTATTTTTTCAAAGCAGAACTCAATAGTGTTAGAAAAACCTCCGAGAATTTCAGTAAGATATTTTTAATCATTTCTAAGTTACAACGGTTCAAAGTTTAATCTAACAATATGACAATAATTTTGCCTTTTTTACACGATTTGGACAATGTTGCTGTTACATCTGGTATATATATATATATATATATATATATATATATATATATATATATATATATATAAGCTCCTGAAAAAAAATGATTTTGGTTGAGGTCTTTGGGAGGAAATGTGTGTTTGTAAACAGTGACTATTAGGGCTAATAATGCAAGACTCTTCGGTAAATCGAATCGAGTTCTCGCAGTCACTGTGTGTTTATCTAAAAATAAATACCCTTAAAATCACCTCCACCCCGGCCGTGCGCCAACGGTTTAGTGGTAGAATCCTCGACTGACGCCAATTCAGTCGGGTTTCGATCCTAGGTAGAGAGGTCTAACCATACTGTTGAGTCGAAATACTGTTGAGCTATATGCGATATATATATATATATAAGATAAAAATTAGTTTTAAGGTTTGCTATATTACTGGGCAAAAGTTCTCAATGTCAATTCAAGGGACACAACTCTCTAACTGCAATAGGTGATATTACAGAAATTTGGGATTCCCGAGTTTTCATTATGGCGATTGTTTTCGGCGAAATTTTTACGTGCTTTTTTTGCGATGAAATTTTATACGATAAGAGTTTTTATAACTTGGAAATATATTTGAGAATAATCGAAGTTAATTGTGAAATCCAGCGAAAGTCACCCATGAAATAAAAATATTTGCTTATACGGAAATTGTCTTTATTAAGTGGCGGCAGAAGAATTATCGTTGAACTTAAGCTTAAATATTAATGTAATACTTAAATGCAGCGACCAATTTTCAGTTTTTCTGTCGTTTATTGTTGCCTATCACATACGGCAGCAGTATGCCCCACAAAAAGAAATCTCCGCCAACAGAGGACCAGATTGCAATCAAATAAGTCAATGTTGAAACGAGGGGAAAAAAAGCTCCGTGCAAATGAAAACCCAGATCAAACTGCAGCCAGGAGAGGTCCCACTGCTAAGAATATGCAAAGACTTTGGGACTCTCAAACTCTTGAACAAGCTGAAGGCCCAATGAAGAGCGAGATTAAATGCCGCTGGGGGCGGCTTTTTAAATTAAATATATATATATATATATATATAGGTAAAAAAGGCGGCTTTCCAAGTAGATCCTATTGATATAAAATATAAAATATATATAAATATATTTATATATAGGCATTTAAGAGAAAAACCCATTCAGATGGCCATTTCGTCCCTGGAAAGTAATCCAAATAGATGTTAACAAATTGATATAAAATGAAATTAAAACTGAGGAATACAAATTCCGGGGTTTAATTCTTTGTAATTTATATATATATATATATTATATATATATATATATAGTTTATTCAAATTTAGGAAATGGGTAGACCTGATTCAGATGATATCCAGAGAGCTCAATGTAAAATTGTCCAGATATGTTTGAATAAAAAAGACTCCGTTAAGATTCAACAAATTTGCCCTTTTAACAAAGTCCTATGGAGTTTTTCCCAAATATGGTTAAAAAAATGGCGTCTAGGAATTTGAATGAAATCTGTGAATGGGGGATGAAATGTTAACCATCTTTGAATGGGGACAAAATGGTCATCTGAAAGGGGACAGTTAAATGGCTTGATGAGGTCCGTAAAAAATCATTGGAAGTAAGGGATCCAGAATTAAAGGGGTTTAATTCTTTACATGGAATCTTAATGGTCTGTCTTTATTAAATATATATATATATATATATAAAGAGAGAGAGAGAGAGGGAGAGAAAGAGGAGGAGGAGAGAGAGAAAGAGAGAGAATTAATAAAAATAAGATGTTTGGCACTTGGCTCAAGGATGATACCGTCAGCATCCCGACTGCAGAGACTCGTAGACGAACACTCGGGAATCACTACGTCCATGCGTATCAGCAATTGACTGTTTATATTTCTCGATTTTTTTTCTTTTTATACGCACTTTTCATTTTTATTAGTCACTATTTTCATGTAGCTAGTCGATGTGGAATCAAAAAGAAAATTAGTTGAATGACCTCTTGAGAGATGTTCAACCATACCCTGTCTATAGATGTTCAACGCTCCCTGGAATATTTAGATACAGTGTATTGCATGCGAATAGACCTTTCTATCGCGTCCCATAAACGTTTGATTGAGCTGCTACCTGGCGAAGGCAGAACCGTACCATTCGTCGAAAATCTCCAGAGTGAGCTTCAAACAAATTCTGGAAAACATGGTCATCTTGGTTTCGTGGCACGCGGTTTTATCTTGCGGCAATATCCTATCATTATTGGAACAAACAGAATCAATGAAAGGCTGCAAATTCTAATATCGCAGTGTAACATAATTCGCCAGTCAATGTTTAGCCGGACTAGCGGACCCAAACAATGCAACGTTTACATAATGTATACCCAGTATATAATCACCTTGTTTGACTTCGAGCTACACCTACACTACAGGCCAAAACTTTTGGAGGACTCTCTTGATTTCGAAGATACACCTACACTACAGGCCTAACGTTTTAGAGGACTCTCTGGATTTCAAAGCTACACCTACACTACAGGCATAACGTTTTGGAGGACTCTCTTGATTTCGAAGCTACACCTACACTACAGGCCTAACCCTTTGAGGACTCTCTGATTTCGAAGCAACACCTACACTACAGGCCTAACCTTTTGAGGACTCTCTTGATTTCGAAGCTAAACCTACACTACAGGCCTAACTTTTGGAGGACTCTCTAATTTCGAAGCTACACCTACACTACAGGCCTAACCCTTTGGAGGACTCTCTGGATTTCGAAGCAACACCTACACTACAGGCCTAACCTTTTGAGGACTCTCTGATTTTGAAGCTACACCTACACTACAGGCCTAACCTTTTTGGAGGACTCCTCTTGATTTCGAAGCAACACCTACACTAGAGGCTAAACCTTTTGGAGGACTCTCTTGATTTCAAAGCAACACCTACACTACAGGCCTAAAATTTTGGAGGACTCTCTTGATTTCGAAGCCACACCTACACTACAGGCATAACCTTTTTGAGGACTCTCTTGATTTCGAAGCCCACCCACTACAGGCCTAACCTTTTGGAGGACTCTCTGGATTTCGAAGCTACACCTACACTACAGGCCTAACCCTTTGGAGGACTCTCTGGATTTCGAAGCAACACCTACACTACAGGCCTAACCTTTTGGAGGACTCTCTTGATTTCGAAGCTACACCTACACTACAGGCCTAACCTTTTGGAGGACTCTCTTGATTTCGAAGCTACACCTACACTACAGGCCTAACCTTTTGGAGGACTCTCTTGATTTCGAAGCTACACCTACACTACAGGCCTAACCTTTTGGGGGACTCTCTTGATTTCGAAGCTACACCTACACTACAGGCTAAACCTTTTGGAGGACTCTCTTGATTTCGAAGCTACACCTACACTACAGGCCTAACCTTTTGGAGGAATCTCTTGATTTCGAAGCTACACCTACACTACAGGCCTAACCTTTTGGAGGAATCTCTTGATTTCGAAGCTCACACCTAACTACAGGCCTAACCTTTTGGAGGACTCTTTTGATTTCGAAGCTACACCTACACTACAGGCCTAACCTTTTGGAGGACTCTCTTGATTTCGAAGCTACACATACACTACAGGCTAAACCTTTTGGAGGACTCTCTTGATTTCGAAGCTACACCTACACTACAGGCCTAACCTTTTGGAGGACTCTCTTGATTTCGAAGCTAAACCTACACTACAGGCCTAAACCTTTGGAGGACTCTCTTGATTTCTGAAGCTACACCTACACTACAGGCCTAACCTTTTCAGGACTCTCTGGATTTCGAAGCAACACCTACACTACAGGCCTAACCTTTGGAGGAATCTCTTGATTTGAAGCTACACCTACACTACAGGCCTAACCTTTTGAGGACTCTCTTGATTTAGAAGCAACACCTACACTACAGGCCTAACCTTTTGGAGGAATCTCTTGATTTCGAAGCTACACATACACTACAGGCCTAAACTTTTGAGGACTCTCTTGATTTCGAAGCTACACCTACACCACAGGCCCCAACCTTTGGGGGACTCTCTGGATTTTGGAAGCAACACCTACACTACAGGCCTAACCTTTTGAGGACTCTCTTGATTTGAAGCTACACCTACACTACAGGCCTAAACTTTTGGAGGACTCTCTTGATTTCGAAGCTACACCTACACTACAGGCCTAACCTTTTGGAGGACTCTCTGGATTTCGAAGCTACACCTACACTACAGGCCTAACCTTTTGCAGGACTCTCTGGATTTCGAAGCTACACCTACACTACAGGCTTAACATTTTGGAAGACTCTCTGGATTTCGACACTACACCTACACTACAGGCATAACCTTTTGAAGACTCTCTTGATTTGAAGCTACACCTACACTACAGGCCTAACCTTTTGGAGACTCTCTGATTTGAAGCAACACCTACACTACAGGCTAAACCTTTTGGGGATTCTCTTGATTTCGAAGCTACACCTACACTACAGGCCTAACCTTTTGGAGGACTCTCTGGATTTCGAAGCTACACCTACACTACAGGCCTAACCTTTTGGAGGACTCTCTTGATTTCGAAGCTACACCCCACACTACAGGCCCAACTTTTGCAGGACTCTCTGATTTGAAGCTACACCTACACCACAGGCCTAATATTTTGGGGACTCTCTGATTTCGAAGCTACACCTAAACTACAGGCTAAACCTTTTAGAGGACTAAATTGAGTTCGTAGTTACGCCTACACTACAAGCTAAACCTTTTGAGGGACTCTGTTGATGTCGAGCTACACCTAAACTACAGGCCAAACCTTTTGGAGGACTCACTTTAGTTAGAGCTACACCTACATTACAGGCCAGACCTTTTGGAGGACTCTCTTGATTTCGCAGAATTTGAAAAAAACGAAGGTTGTGCGAAATTATTTTGCTAGCTTCCTTCAGGCAAGAGTGACATTTTGTTCCTGAAAACTTTTATCATATATCAAATAATTATAAAGCATTTCGCCCCGACTGACTTCACAAAATCTTACCAAATATATATTTTTTAAGCATTTCACCTCAAGCAAGGCGGGATGCCACTAGTACGCAAAGGGTTTTAGAGTGGGAGCGATAGTCAAAAGGTGTGATGGAGGAAAGGATGAAGACAAGGGCAGTTCAAAATGTTCTAATCCCCCCCACGAAAGAATAGCCACTTTTTGTAGTGGCAGACCACTACCACTTTTTTATTAAGCTGGAAAACTAATTCAGATGTCGGTCTTAATTTATATTCAGGTGAGGTCCGTACAAAGGGGAGAGTTGTGCGTAAATTTAAACATGGACAAAACAGAGTCCCGTGCAGCCGCAAATTATTTGATAATTAAAAGTTATGACATCCAAGGAAATCGATGAGGATATGATAGAGACACTTGCTGAGGACTCCCCTTCCTATGCAACTATGAAGGAGTGGGCTGCACAGAAGATGGTCCCCAGTCTAGATATCTAAGGCAACAATGCGAGCTTCACCGTTATTATCTAAAGCTTCACAGACCCTTTCGAAGATACGTCTGTGTTTTTCGTTTTACTGCTGCTAATCTTTCTTGGGATGGAAGGTTGTTTTTATAAATGTTTTTATCAATGTGAAGAAGACTGTGTCCCAACTTATCAAAGGTAAAACTCCATCTACTTGAGGCCAAACCTGATTTCATATTGACGGTTGTCCTAGAAAAGCGAAAGCCACGTTGTTTATCTGAAACAATCGTTACAATCGCTGTAATAGCTCAGTGTTCTCGCCCAGGTAAAAGCTACAATTTTGAACGCAAATTTTCAAGGTAGGTTATCACCTTGACTCCACTATTTGGATTATTATATTCATCTTATATTCAATTTTATAATAATAGCCTTCCTTTACTTAACTTATATAATTTTTATATAATGTTTGATTTATGTTTAAATGTCGACCACTTAAGCATAATAAGAAAGCAAAGTGTGAAACTCTGATGAGTGGAAAAGAAAAAGTTTTGATTGTCGGAGGCTAAGATAGGGAGAAGGGGGAGGGTAAACGGTGAGCAAGAGAAGAAAAGACAAAATAAGACACAAAAAGAAAGAAGAAAGTGCAAAGAGGAAAGCTAAAAGAAAGAAATAAAGTTACCAGAGTAGTAAGAGGAGAAATTTGGTTGGTTGGCAAATGTGTTAAATAGACTATCAATTGCGGGTATTTAGTTCACTTGCCCGCAAGTCAGTCGTGAAAAGGATTTGATTGGCTGAGAGCAAAATTTGCAATTGAGACGCCAGTTGTGATTGGTTTTCGCCCATGAAATGGCTGACGTGACGAAATAACAACAGACCGGTCTTCTGTATAATTCACTTTCTTCGCCCTATTCCATTCATCCCTCCCCCTCTCTCTTTCTCTAACCAGAAAAGCGTCCAAATGTACTTGATATGTACTAAGTACGCATGCCTTATCGTGAAACAAGCGTCAAACTAGTCTCGCAGAACATTAAACTGTAGTAAGGTCAATCTTTAGTGGATGCGTATGGCCTTGTGTCAAACTAGGCAAACAAGAATACCTCACAATGAAGCAGTGATTTACAAACTCGTCTAACTGCTAGTATAGAAATAACTTCGATCCTCATTGGGTGCCCAAAAATAGTGGGAATATGATTAGCTAATGTTTAATGGTCAGTAAACTTATCATACATCCCGTGTAGTGAGTTCAATCCACGCTGTTTAATTTTTCCAGATGAATTTGTTCAATTTTTCCAGATGAATTTGAGTTAAAACAACAACACTAGCCTTTTCTCTAAGCTAGTAATTTTCTTATTGGTGTCAGCAGTTTAAGCCTAGGTAAAAGCATTATTTTTGAATGCTGTTTTTAAAGGGAAGGAGGCCCTCCCCACTTGCCAGAATGGTGTGACGCACACTTCTATAACTGGCTTTGTACCGTGTATTACTATATGTTAAGTTTAGTTATAATAATGATGATAACAACTAGAAAATTCTTTGATACTAATTTTCAAAATAAGAAATGCCTACATGTCTTGAAAATCGGCATTCAAAATCCTATCTATTGATGCTGGTAGAAAATACGTCATCTCTGCCACAAGACAAACTGCAGAGGCATACAAATCAATATACAAATAATTTACTATTTTTTAAGAACGAAAGTTAAATTATTAGGCGCATGACTGATTGATAATTACAGAAAATTGTAAAAATTATATTATTTTTTTTATTTTTTTATTTGTTTCTTTTTCTTGGCTTTTCGTTGCTTTTTTCTTTTCGTTTTTGTATGGACGATGTCGGCTTGTCCCTTTTCTCTTTTATTTATTTTATTCTTTGCCACTTAATTTTTGTCTTCTGTTTTTTGTTGTTTTGTTTTTTGTGTTTTTTTGCAGGTTCATTTTTCGGTTTGTTTTTTTTGTTTGTTTTTACTTTCTTTTTCTTTTCTTCATTATCGTCTGCTTATATCATTCTTTTATTCACAACTTTTGCATTCATTTTCTATTTTGTATCTTTTCTTTTCTTTTTTCTTCAATTAATTTTTTCTCTTTCCAATTTTCTCCTTTTTCAACTGATGTTTTATTGCATCAGTTTTCTTCCCGTTTTATTCTTATTTTTCATTATTGAAGCATATTTTATAATTTCCCTTTACAGACTGATTCTTCATTTTATATTTCTCCCTTCCCACTCTCTTTCTCTCCTCTCTCTCTCCATTCCCCTCTCTCCCTCTTCCCTCTTTCTCTCCTCTCTCCTCTTTCTCTCCCTCCCTCCCTCCCACTCTCTCTTTTCCTCTCTCTCTCTCCCTCACTCTCTCTCTCTCTCTCAATCCACCATTTTCGTTTTATCAGTTCCATTTCTAACTGTTTTGCCTTCATCTTTTTTGGCTTTCTTATCGCTCAATTTTGTCTCACCTTTCGGTCTCTTCATTTTTCTGTTTTTTTTTTTTTGTTTTTTTTTTAGGTGGGGGTATCACTCGTCATGCTATTGTAAATCTATTCATTTCTCTCCTTCAGCTTACTCGTTTTTCTCTGGCGCAACCATAACCTCTCTTCTTTTACCGGCACCATTTTCATTCTCTTCGATGATAGGGTCTGGCATGCCGATTAAGGGATACAGAATTTCAGGTCGATTATTTCACTTAATACGATCATTCCTGTCAAACCGTGTAATTAAGGTCGTCCTTAACGGATTCTCCTCCAGTTCCTTTCCCACGAACGCAGGTGTTCCCCAAGGCTCTATCCTAGGTCTTACTCTGCTCCTTATCTTCATTAACGATCTCCCCGATGTCATCAGTTCCCAAGTACGCATTTATGCTGACGACACTACTATTTACTCCTCCAAATCTGGTGTCGCTGACAAAACTAACCTGGCCGTTAGTCTCGAAAAGGACCTCCAATCGGTTGTGGACTGGGGCACGAATTGGCTGGTTATCTTTAATGCCTCTAAAACAAAACTGCTCTCTATTACTCACCATAGGGAACCACCCCTGCCACCCATTAGAATGTCTGATGCTCAACTCCACGAGAGCACTTCTTTGCGAGTGCTTAGTCTCACACTGTCCGCTGACCTGAGATGGAACAATTACATTGAATCAATAGCTTCATCCACCGCAAGGAAAGTTGGTTCCCTGTGTCGCGCCAAAAAGTTTTTCTCGTCCGAGTCCATCTTCAAATCTACATAAATCATTTACATCAGCAATGTCACTAAAGATCCTTCACATATTGTGTTCATAATCTTTGTATTTGATCCTTCATTCCATATTTTTTTCTATGACATTTAGTTCTGCTTTTAATAGTCTATTATATATATATATCTTATATATTATATATATATATATAATATATATATATAAATATATATATTCATGCCACACACGAACATATATATATATACATACACACACATATATATACATTACACCTATATATATTATACATACATAACATCTTACACACACATATATTACAGACACATATATACATATTTATGCACATATACACACATATATATATTCATATATAGTTCACATATATATATATGTGTATATGCATGTATATATTTATATATATATATATATATATATATATATATATATATATATATATATATACACACATATATATATTCATGCATACACACGAACATATATATATATACATACACACACATATATATACATACATACACCTATATATATATTCATACATACACACACATATAAATACATACACACACATATATATACAGACACATATATACATACACTTACATGCACATATACACACATATATATATTCATACATATATACACACACATATATATATATGTGTATATGCATGTATATATTTATACATACATACACCCACACACATATATATATATATACATAAACACACACATATATATATATATATATATATATATATATATATATATTACGATAAACGTGCAATCAATTTACAAATTCATGAATTATTCACACAAAAACAAAAGCAAAGCTTAATGATTTAATTGGCGAGAAATCCATCATCGCAAACAATTCAAATAATATACAAAAACCTCCGAAACAAGAACAACATCTATTCTATACCTGAAGATGTCTGTAGGAACAGACGAAAGCTTGTAGTAAAAAATAAGAACTAATACGGAGAAATTTATGGAAACAAGGATCAATTCATTCATAACGGATTCGGAGGTTTTTGTATATTATTTGAATTGTTTCGATGATGGATTTCGCCAATTAAATCATTAACCTTTGCTTTTGTTTTTGTGTGAATAATTCATGAAATATATATATATATATATATATATATATATATATATATCGCGTATCATGCGACTTATGAAGTCCTTTTACTGTAGTCAAAATATCTCCAAAATTAGATTTTCAAAGGTCGTATGATACGCGAGTATATAGGGTAATTTATCTGTTAACGGTTTTGTTAATGTCTGATTACTTGAATATCTTTTACTGTTGAGTTAAAGATTTGCAGTTTTAAAGAGTTGTTAATTTTTGACTTGCAGGCACGATTCATTCTTAATAGTTCTGTAAAAGTCATCGTAATTCCAATCTCTATGTCACTCTGTATGGAATTCAACCATGATCCTAGATATAAAAGAACAATAATAATCAGATTGCCAGCTTTGAATGTTATAAACATCCATCTACCTGATTAAAAGTGACGAATAATTCGCTTTTAATTGTGAGACAATTTTTATCTCCATAATCTATCTTACATATCTACCATTCTTCCATCTTTAGAATATTGCTGCCATATATGGCCCAGCGCCCCTGCTATTTACCTTGAGCTCCTTGATAAAATCCAAACAAGAATCAGCAATATCATTTGACCTGATCTGGTTTCTTCAGTCACTTTCCCACTGCCGTAAGGTTGCCTCTCTGTGTCTTTTCTATAAATACATTCCTGATAGTTGTACGGATGAGCTCTTCGTTTCATAGAGACTCTGCGGTATTATGGTGAATGTAGTAAGAATAGTATGTAAGTATGTGTTGTTTTGGTATAAAGAATATTGTGGTATGTCCAGGTCAGTAATTGTTTGTTTTACGGCATATCAATCTCAATGGGTTATTTAATGCCGACATTATTTTTTTTTTCAAAACATCTGTTTATGGTAATATTTTTCCTTCAAAAATGTATTGCTGCTTATATTTTTTTTACAAAGTATTTCTGGTATTAAAACCTATTTTTACACTTTCATAGTGTTTTGACCCCAGTTTGTGGGTTTAACTATTTTCCCATAGCTGGGACCCTAACAGGTGCTACCACCGCGTGTCAGGGTGGACCTGGGAACACCAGCAATTAAGAGGTGATTCCACGCTCCACAAATCCTCCTGATCAGAGGCCTTGATGCTGGACGTAGTTTATCGTCTTACCCAGGACACGGATGTAGTTTATCATCATACCCAGAACAGATCAGTAATTTTGGCTAGCTAATTTTAATTTTAAGACCAGCACCCCCCCCTTACCCTTTTAGCCGTATGCCACATTTTTGCATTTTATTACAAAATCAATATCGCTCTCCGCTATGGTACCTCGACTGTTTTTAATTTAAGCGCAGTACTAGACTACTAGTGTCGAGATCTCACCAGTTTAAATTTGTGCTGGCTAAATGTAACCGTAAATTCTATGCTTCTTCCGGCTCCAAAGTCTATAAAAATTTAAATAAAATGTCAATCGCTCTCTACTGCATTCTTGATTCCTCTTCTCACTCGCTATTAATGTTTTTGTTCTTAATTCTTCAGAGCCTGTAACCCTTGGGTCTTAGCGGCTTTACGGCATGGGTCATACCGATTTTTAAAAAATTATATGGAATCCTAGGTTTTCTTCTTTTTTTACAGAGGCAGGAAAGTGCGACACTGAAATCCTAAGCTGCATTGCAATAGAGAAAGATGCCTTTCAAAAGCTAAGCAAAGTATAAAGAAACAGGAAAATTTCGTTAGAAACAAAGAAAAGAGTACTGAACTGTTATGCAATATCACTACCTGAACTATACCCGACAGTAGAGCTAAAACTAGAGTACGGAATGAGGGTACCCCGAACTGATGTTGCCTCCGGCTGGCCCCTGACGACGGTCTGGCACCTGTTTGTTCCCAATCAGGATTATGGTCATGCTTACCGGTGATGGTGTCTAGTTCGGATTGTTCTACGTCCTTCATAGGCGGGGATTGAGATGCGCCTATGATTCCCCTTCTATTTCTGTAATTTTTTTGTTTATTTCACGGGAGTGTGTGGAAAAATAAATGAAATTACTTGCGTGAGTTGGGTTACGGTCTGATGTGGGAGGCGGAGTAATGAATGCTGGTAGTGAATGCTGAACCATCTCATGACAGATGAAGAACTGACTTGCTTGAGTCAACAGAAAAGTAGTTCTATAGAAGAATCCTGAAAATACTATTGGCTGAAAGCGTGAGCAACAACGAAGTTTTAGATTAAAACTGAAACGAAAAGTACACTTATACATAACATCAGAAACAGACGGCTGTATATAAGGCACATAATGAGGAAAAGAGGCTTGGGAAATTTGACACTCGCAAGACTTAGTAAAGATGGACTGAGGAAAACGGCGCAAAGCCTACCTAACGAGATAATGTAAACAATTGACATGGATTCGGAGTTATGAAAAAAATTGGCAAAATTTACTAATGGTTATAAAGGGCAGGAAGTTGTGGAGATCCATGATCGCGCACGTATATAGAAGAAACAGTGTTCTTAACTTCAGCCATCAGATTAGAATGAGTGTTTTCAGTATGACCTGACCATAAGAAATTATTATTTTTTTACTCTCTCTCTCTCCCCCTCTCTCTATCTCTCTCTCTCTCTCTCTCTCTCTCTCTCTCTCTCTCTCTCTCTCTCTCTCGCTGTTCCACCTTTTATCAAACACATTTCTTTCTTCTCTTCCTTTCTCTTTTCCTTTCTTTTTTTTATCTTCTTTATCTAACTTCTTCTTCTCTTTTTATTCCTTTTTTTCTCAACTTCTCCCACTTTGGAGATTAAGCGCCTCTTTTCAATCCACTATTCATTCTTGCTTTTACTCTTTTCTTAAAAAGGAAAAAAAAAACATTTTTATAACTTTCCTTTATTTCCTTAGACTCCACCTACTTCCATTATATTCTTCAGATAAATAAAAATGATTTAGAGTTAGAAGCAGTCACTCAAGGTGGAAACATTCCTTTCGGGAAAAAAATACTTTATTTAAGTAAATAAAATACACTCGTTTCGATTAAAAAAGAAAAGTCGATTCGGTTTCTTCCAGTAAAAAAAAAGACCTATTTGAACCAGTTCGGAGAATGTTTATTGCTTTACCAATTTCACAAGCGATGCTACAACCCTCATATTTCTCTATTTCTAAAGGTTAACAAACTACAACCAGAGCATGTTTTTCTTTCCGTGAGTTAAAAATAAAGAAAACCGGTTCAGTCATAAACGATATACAATAAATTTCGATTATTGACTATTTCAAGAAGCATTGGTAAGTTCTTGTTGCTTGGAAAAAAAACTAAGATACTCCGCTCGGCTGGAAAGTTCATAAGCTAACCAAGATACTCTCATGGAATGTGACTAAACGTGGTTCATTTTCAACATAGTCCCTTTTGAAGTTCACACATTTCTTCCTGCGGTGATTTCCTTGTAGAAGCTTTCATCCTGTTAATCAAAAAATTCAACAACAGCTGATCTGACGTCATCACCACTGTGATACTGGTTCATGAGCCAAGGGTGTTTTTCATGTTGGGGAACAGATGATAGACAAATCAGAAGAAGAGGGACGGTAATCAACTAATTCAAAGCCACATTCTCGCACTGCAGCCATTGAAACGTGTACGCGAGAACATTGTCCCGATGAAACAAGACTTCTTTCGCCAGTATTCCTTTGCGTTTGGTCTTGATAGCCTTTCATAACTGCCTTAACAGGTAGGCATAGTCCTCTCCATTGATGGTGTGGCCCTTTTGAAGAAGCATTGGTAAGCTCTTGTTGCTTAGATTTTAAGAGGCATTGACATAGTGTCTAAAACTGAATCCATAGTCTTCAAACAGCAAGTCTCCAAACAAATTGTCTCAGGTGAATGAATAAAATCTGACGAAACCTTTGCATACTTTGGAAGCGAGATGAATTCAACTGAAAAGGATGTGAAAATTCGCATAGCTAAAGCCCGAGTCACTTTGAATAAAATAGCTGTCATCTGGAAATCTGACCTACCTGATAACCTCAACCGGGGATATTGTATTTTTCGAGCCACTGAAGAGGCGGTGTTAATGCATGGTGCCACAGCTTGGATATTAACTAAAATTCTAAAGTCTAAACTTGGTAGAACCTACATTCGGATACTAAGAGCTATATATAAATCTCTTGGAGACAACATGCAGCTAAATCACAGCTCTATACAACCATCCCTGATATTTCTACAATCTTACGCGAACGCAAAATGCGCTTTGCAGAGCACTGCTGATGAGCAGAACAAGAACTTGCAACTGGCCTACTGCTTTGAACACCTAGCCATGGAGCAAGAATGGTTGGTCTCCCAGCAACCACCTACATTGACCAGCTATGTTATGACAGAGGATGTCACCCTAATGACCTTCCAAATTTGGGCCGCCTTGAATAAAATAGATTGTAATCTGAAAATCTGCGAAGATTCTTTCGAGACACTGTAGAGGCGGTGTTAATACATGGCGCCACTGCTTGGACATTAAGTAAAATCCTAGCGTCTAAGCTTAATGGAACCTACGTTTAGACGCTAAGAGCTATACTTAAAATCTCTTGGAGACAATATCCGACTAAATCCGAACTCTATCTGATAGTTATACAACCTGACGGGAACGCAGTATGTACTTTGCAGGAGACTGAAAACGCCTAAGTTGACCAGCTATGTTATGACAGAGGATGCCACCCTAATAACCTTACGACCTTGATGCAGGACCATGATAGTTTTTGTGATAGGCATAAGAAGGCCGGAGCCACCTCGACCGAATAATAATAATAATCTATGTAGAATCATTTTCTCTACGTGTTCTCTACTTACACAGTATTTTCAAATATGGCTGTCTTCCTTTCTGGGAAGATATCAAAGCAACTTTATACACATTCGTGTAAACAAAGTCTTTGCTACCCTCCTTTACACATTTAGACAAATGCTCATCCTATTAGAATAACTATTACGGTTATATTTAACAATTTGAACAGTAAAGTTATGAGACCTAACTGCCAATCTAGTACTGAGCTTAAATTCGTTATGCTGAGATACCAAAGATGAAAGCAATAATTATTTTGTAAAGATATAAAATATGGCACAAGGACAAAAGCGATGATGGAGAAAGCTGGTCTTCTTCTGTTTTATAATTAAACCTAGCTAGCCACAATTATTGACCCAAACATAGCACAGTATTACTTACACCAAAAAACAACACATTCTTACTTACCATTCTTACTACTTCCACCATAACACTCAAAGTCTCTTTGAAGTTCTAAATAGTCCTCCTATGTACAATATTTGTCTGCGCGGGGGGGGTAATATAAAACAACAATTTTAAAAAATCTAACCCCAACGTGTACCAAAGAGGAGAGCAATATTTATTTTGTTCTAATGCAGAAATTTGGCACAAGGCCAAAAGGGGAGATAGGGGAAGGCTGTCTTCTATCTGTCTTATGTTAAACTTAACTAGCTACAATTACTGTCCCAAACACACCATAATATTCCTTACATGAAAACAACACATTTTTACTACAGTCACCATAATACCTCAAAGTCTCTATGTAGTCCTAACTAGTTCCCATATGTACAATTTATAAAGGTGTGGAATAAAATAACAATCTTTAAAAAGAAACTCCAACGAATATTTACAATGAATACAATTTTTATACAAGAAACTAAACAAAATAGTGTTAGTAATAAAAAAAACACAATTCTAAGAGGAAATCGATATTTATTCTGATAAAATACTGTTATAATGGAACACACCTATTCTATAGTTAATAGACTCTCCCACCTATAATAAGTAGGAGTAGTAATAGTACCGAGGGGTCAGTGAGTCGGTCAGTGACTCAGTCGATGTCGTGCGACAGTTAGTCGAATACTAAAGTATCAGCGACCACAACTAGATTTACTCTGCATCATGCCTATTATATGAAGTTCCTAACGTTTTGTACGTCGAACCTATTTTAGGACCGACTTAGTACAAATACAAGCCTCCACTGTGAAATCACTCTACAACAAATACAGAAATGTGGCACAAGGCCGTAGGAGGGATTGGGGAAAGGACGGTCTTCTGTCTTAATTATAACTTATCTAACCGCAAACACTGACCCAATCGTACAAACAAGATTCCTTACACCAAACAACACATTCATACATACCTTTCTTACTACATCCACCATAATACCTCTTTGTCTCTATGAAAATACTAACTAGTCCCCATATATATATAATTCATTGTCAGTGGGAGGAGGGGAATAAAACAACAATTCTAAAAACTAGCCCCAATGAGTATTTACATTATGAATACAAAACTATTTACAAGAAACTAAAGAAAATAGTATTAGTAATAACCCCCCCCCCACACACACACACACAATCCAAAGAGGAAAGCTCATTAGAAAAAATGTCATGAAAATATTTATAAAAAATACACAGGGATGTTACATTACGGCGATGGGGGTGATGATTTAAGCCGAGGTGCCAGGAAAAGACTGAAAAGAAGAAGCTAAATGCTCACACTACGACTGAGGCGTTGGTTCCTTCCACTTATTATTTAGCAGATTGTCAAGTGCCTGCAAGGAGAAACAAATCCGTTTACTCGTCAAGTCTTGGTTAAGGTTCCACTTCTTTTTGACCCACCCACGTCTCGAATCTGACAGGCTTAAAATCTCGACTCATTCATGTTCCTACACAGCATTGGTAATTCAAACACGTTTTAAATTTGCTTTTCAATTGGCACGTCTTCTAAGTGAAAATGAACGCAACGAAAGATTTTAAGCTCTGAAGGATTTTCGATTGCAGATAATTATATCAAGCAAAATCATGAACATCACCTTAATGCTAAAATTATATCGAAACGTGGCCATAAATTTCTAAGAGACCGCCAAATTCGTTCACAATGTGCGTCCAGTTCATATGCGGTTTATCCAGAACGAATCCAGTCATCTTGTTTATCTCGAAAACTGTTTGCTCAATAGTGGTGTAACTACCGTATATTAAATGGGGACTTTATTGCGCATGCATGAACAAAATAGATCCTGTGAAGGTTGCACAACCGATATGGAGATATCCAATGTGATCACAATTATCGAACGACTAAATTATTCACGGCTTGTGTGTGAACAAGACAGCGTTACTTTGTGGGAAATACAACCAAATGCTTCCCTGATAACTAAAATCTTAACCATTTCATGTCAAGGGTCAACCGTTATCTATCATATATATATATATATATATATATATAATAGCTAGCAGACTATTGCAGACGCCCTCTCAAGCATATTTGTGTTTGTTCAACACCCACAGAGCTAAACTTTGGTTTATACTGCAACTATGCTGAGCAGACCTTAGTTACAGTTTGTGGGAGAGGGCGTGTTATCTAACGGGATCAACAATCTGAACAAGGCCAGCAGGCTCAAGCCCTCAGACACGATGACTTGTGACTTCGTACTAGCCCAGCTATCGACGGCCCCACAAGGGTTCTGTCTACCCAATTGCACTCACAAGGCTTGGGTCAACTCTTGGTAGGGTTTTCAGGCACTTTCCAAAGTGCCAAGTGGTCGAGTGGTTAGAACGTTGGCTTTCTGACCATGAGATCCGGGTTTGAATTTCACCACGGTTGATTTGGGAGAAAGTAGACTTCCTGATGTTAGCGGTCTGGAGGGGGCGATCCCAGAGTGCGATATATATATATATATATATATATATATATATATATATATATATATATATATATATATATATATATATATATATATATATATGTAATCAATTGGTATGTAATCCAAGTGAATCCTAGTAATA